GACAACATGCATGTTGGTTAGTAATAAATTCCCTATCTTATAACACTAGCTCAAAATCCTGCACCAGTTTTTTTTTGGGACCCGGTTTACGGGCCTCGTTTTCGAATACCGTGCTCCAAAATCGAGTGCCGTCACCGTCATTGTGGTCGCCCATCCCTCTATTTTAAATTAAAAATTAATCGTTTCATCCCCGCACTTCCCCTTTAATATTTAGGCCAGCATATGTAACACCAATTAACACCAAAGTAGGTTTATGATTATTGTCCATGTATCTTCAAGGTTATGATCTTTAGAGAACTGATAAAATGTTGATGCATCTTTTTAGTCTAACCCCGGTCCCTAGGTTGGTCCAAGTGTGATCGCAAAAAGCGCTCAACCAGAACAACGGAGGCCTAGCGTGGCCTACGCTACATATGCGGTCCCTTCTCTCATTTTCATTAATTCTTAAACCAGTTAAACTATTATATGGTCGGATTTTAGTTGAATTATCATATTTTAAATAATAATTATTAGAATCCGACATTTATTTCTACTTTGTCAAATTTACTGTATAATCAGAGCACATACCCTTTTTTGAGATGACGTTTTCAAAGGCTGTTGAAATAGTTCGATTTTTCAATTTTTGAGATGCGCAAAAAAAATTGGCACGAAATAGCAACCGACCATACTTTGGGCCATTTAATCAAAAAACAACATTAAAGAATGACCCAGAAAAAAATACAGACATATACAACTCCATAAGATCTTGAGGTTTTGTGAAAATTAGACATTACATTTTATGTTATTACTTTCAAAGTTATGGCCCTCCAAAAATGCTCCAAAATCAGTCTGGAAAAAGGACCCACTTTTTCACCATCTTTAAAGGGCCTTAACTTTTGAATGGTGTATTGCATTATAATAATTTAAACTGGAAAATGATCAGTGCAGTGAGTTCTGTAGATCTTCTGTTTACAAAATTCAAAATAATGAAATTGATTTTTCTCATTGGGATACCTAGTATAAGATAGTATAATACATGCATGATGGCATGCATTTCAATATATAGAGTATGTATTGCTGTATACTATCTTATCTGAGATTAATCAGTGGACCATTCGGTTTTTATTCAAGTATAGTATGAAAACACAACAAAAAGAATAGCATGAAGCACATACTAAATTCCATTGTTTCAATCATAAGATCATGTTTCATTCATGAATATAACACAATAAATTGAGGGAAGAGAATATGTTTGTAGAAAGATAAAATGTTTGTGGAAAGATAGCAAAATGGAAATAAAACAATACTTTACGAAAAGTTTAAAATCCCAAAATGATTTGGAAAACAATTAAATTAATTACAAATGATGATTAAAAAAAACCATCAATCAATTCCATCTTAACATGGAATAATGTTATTTCTGATGAATTAGAAATTGCAAACAGATTTAACCATTATTTTTCTTCTATTGGTGAGTCTTAATAATAATATTAATAACATTTCTGACAATAATAAATTATTCTAAAAACTGACTTGATTTCACCAGAAGAAGTTTTTGGGCAATTCCATGACTTTTTTTCAGATTTAGCAAATGTTCAACTTTGAGGAATGTAAACAAGTTTTATATCAAACTAAAGCTTAAAAAAAGAATTTTTAGGATTCATTGATGAAACTTTTCTTGTGTGGATGTATAAAATATATAGGAATTTGAAATTACATAATTTTGAAAATATAAAAATTATGAAAATGTCATGTTTTTTTTTTTTTCAAAGCCTCTAGAAACTAACAAACTGCCATTTATGCCAGTCATTTTATTTTAAATTGGAGAACTTAACATATTTTATTAGTTTTTGTGACAAAAAGTAATATTCATTTACAACAAAATATTAAGGCGGGGCAAAAATATTTCTTAATATATTTGTCGGTCTGTGACCCAAAAAACAAAATTTTTTAGATTTATTAAGTCATGCAGCTTTCAACCATTGTGAAATTCATAAAACTATTGAAGCTATTAGGCTAACATTCACTGACAAGATTATTTAAATTTTTGGACTTATTTATTCATATTTTTATTACATTATTTTAGTCGGTCTGTGACCAAATTAGTCACGGACCGACTTGTCGGTCTGTGACCAATGATATTACAATAATCTTTAAGCAAACTTTTTACTGTAAAGTTGGTTATATTCAATAAACAAAATTAAAATGACAAAAGACATGGGCCTGGGAAAGGTTCTAAGGACATATAGTGGTTTATTTGAAAATAACAATGATTTGCTTCATAATAGAGTTCTCAACAACCACCAAATTGGGTATATTAAACCATGTGACTAAGTAGTTGGAAGCTGAGTGGGTAAAATCTTTCAAATACATAAAGCTGTAGTTTATCATTCAGTATAGATCTTGATTTTAACATTTAAATACTGTATAGTTACTATTCACTATGTCATTAACCAGCGGAGGCGTCAGCGGGGTAGGGGGAAGGGGCGGGAATTTTCTTTGTCGGAAGGCGGGGACCCCCTGTCTTTCGACAAACGACTAGGTCTTCGGACCAAATTTTTTTTTAAATAATAATTTTCCAATCCAAATGACACTATCTTGATTGCAAATCCCTAATATTATGGTCTAAAAACACATTTAGGGTTAAATTAAGCCTTAAAAACTCCCTTCAAGAACCCTAACAGAGATTTTTTTGTTTCGGGGCTATCGACCGGGGCTTTGTCGTCGCTTTGGTTCGGACCCCTCCATCAGACACGTCGGACCCCTTGTTGGCAAACATCTGGCGCCACCATTGCCATTAACATCTAAAGAAAACACTTCCCATAATGCATAAAATGCATTTCATAATTTTCTTGGTTTAATTTGCCTTTTTTCATTAAGTACTAGAGTATTTATTAACTGGGTCAGATCAATTAACATCCAAGCAATCATGATTTTGCTTAAGACTATTTTCTGTGACGTTTATTAGGTAAATAATACCATTCTTAATATGTTAAATAATCTGATTTTATTACAAAATAAATTTTTGTTTACTGTAAGGAATTAAGTTATAATGCTTCTTTATATACAATGTTTGGTAACAAGTTTTTAGTATTGAATTTTATAAAGTGTTTTCTCCTGCTTAATGTGCCAGATTCCATCATATACTATCATGCAAATCGATAGGTCGGTCTGTGACCAGACCCAAGGTGGTACCATCTACCCTGCCATCCCCATGATGTAGTTTTACATCACCTTCACTGTTGATACTAATTCCTTATATATGATTTTACATACTGGATGTGTTACCATAAATCTTTTCATAATATTTTCAATAGAATTGCACAAAGTTTATATTAGACTTGCCACAAGTCTCTTATTTTTTATTATTTTTCTCATTCTGGACAGCGCCACCAACGAGAAAGTTAATTTATAGACGGAATAAGCGACTTGTAAAACACTGAAATCAGGCACCAGGATGCCAAAAGAATGACGTAATCTTATAT